TGTGCCTAAGGAGAGTCACCTGGAGAGAAAACATTCTCTCAGGCTTTCACAGAGAACAAACTGGCCAAGCAATGGCCGTGACTCATCCACATGGTGGACACTGATAAAGGATCTGCAAACTGTGGTACAGGGTTACAGGATAAATCCTGAGGGTACTTAACTGACCTAATCAGATACAAAAGTTACATTTGTTATACAGGTCTTGCTTTATCTTGGTCTTAACCATCCAGCAGAAAAGTATAAAAATGAGGTATAAAAAGTAAAGCCATATTAATACGCTGAGCTGTGAAAGGCTCAAGTCAACAACTTCTGTGGATAACCCACAACTATTGTGGACTGCTGGACTGTGTTGGATTGTAATATTGGGCAATTCCCAATATTACACATATATACATACAATCTTATTTAATTTTATTGTATAATTGGATTAGCCAACCACTATAACATAAGGTTGGTAGTAACCAAAGTTTATTTCTCCCACATTTCTAACTTTAGTGGGAATGCTTCTATTTCACAGAGGTGTACATTAACTTTTGATTATATGTAGACCACTGCCCCATAACATCTGTCTCTCCTGTTTAATCTCCTATGATTGCTGGTGTTCATTGTTGTAGCTGTGTGGCATGAGAGTTCCTGGATCTATCAAAATTAAGTTCACTGGCCTGTTGTGGTAAGCAGATCACATACCAAATGAAACACAGGTCATCTTATCAAACAATGGACAAGACAAGGTTATTCTAGGAGCTGGGATAATGGGAGAATTTAATATTAAATAGGGCACAGTATTGATGGACTCAGAACAAAGTAGAGCTCGTTCACATCAGGCCTGACTGTAAAGTAGACTCACAGTCTTATTTCCTCAGGTGCTAGAAAGTTAAGAGTGGTGTGGAATGTTGTGTACAGAATCCTCATATATGCAGTTTTACATCTTAATGTAAATTGAGGCTGTGAGGCCAGGAGCTAGCTCAGCAGACTAAGCGCATGCTTAGGCAAGCTCAGGGACAGGGGTTCAGTCCCCAGCAACACATGCCACGCTGGTCCCACCCCCTGGCGCGCTGATCTGGTGAGTCTGGGCATGGTGGTGCATGCCTATAATCCCAGCGCTGGGGAGGCTGAAAACAGGAGGATCACCACAAGTCTGAGCTGCAGACAGACTCTGTACCAAATACAGTAAAAATAATACTAAATTAAAGAAAAATAAATAAATTGAGGTTGTGGTAGAAGTTAGTAAAAGAATGGGGCCAATTAAGGAATTATTTAGAAGGCAAAATTAACTGAATTTGGTGACTTTAGATGTGGACTAAGGAAAACAGTGAATTGCTATTTGATACGTCCATTTGTAGTATGAATAATTAGGTAGATGATTGTGTCTTTAGGTGATATAAAATACACTATAGCATAGTTGGTTTAGGGAAACCAGAGAGGGAAGAGGATGATTATCCGTCAGGTTTTTTGTTTCGTTTTTACAGTATTTGGCTTTGCTTATACAAGGCAAATGCTGTACCACTAAGATATGACCCCCACCCCCAGTTTTTTATTTATTGGGTTTCCAACTGCTACGAGACTCTATAGGACAGACCCACGAGGCACATCAGTGTGAAGATACTGGAGGGTGGGGTCAAGACTGTGGAATGGATGCCCAGAAACCATTAGCTTGGCTAAAGGAAGGCCTGGAAAGTGAGAGGAGCACTGGATTCAGAGAAGAGCTCCAGGAAGACTTCCGCAAGATTTTCTAGTGTGGTATTATGTGCCCATAGGAAAGACCACAAATGAACAAAGAGAGGCATGAACCAAAGCAGAGAGCTGCTGTGTCAGAGCAGCTGAAGCGAGGCATTCTCAGGAAGCAGAAGCCATCAGCCATATGAAAAACAGGCTCAAGAACAAAGGAAGGAAGCTGGCTGAGCAGTTGGCAGGTGGGGGTGACTCTTGCCAGGGTAACATCAGGGAAGTGGGCAGAACAAAGAACAGTTCTCTGCGTCCAGACGATTACAATGAATGATATGGCAAGCCAAGGAACTTTACAGGAAGCTGATGGGAAAGCTGGGAGACAAGGAAGAAATTACAGCGACATCAGGCTCAGGGGTGATTTTTAGCAAAGCATATTTCAACTTCACTCTTTCTGACAGGTCAGAATCAGGACCTTGGCAATGCTAGATGCTCTTTATTAAAAATATCAAAATAAATATATGTCTTCTATGGTCTTTTTTGTATTCACTGGACACTTGGTCTTCGTAACACCTTGCCGTCTTCCCTCCTGCCTCTTCCCTGTGAACACACACACATGCACACGCACAACCACTTACATTTGATTCTATTAGGACCACAAAGGCGCTTATAAGATGTTGCTCCTTTGGTTGGAGTCAAGTTGTGCTGCTGTGTCCCCACACAGAGCTGTAGCAAGCAGGGGCTCCATTACACACATATTTAATCAGATGGAATAAAGAAATGCTTAGAAAAGAAGGCAGTTTTTGAAATATAAAATTCAACAAAAATTTTTTATTTTATGTCCTCTACGGGTACCAACACAAAACTTGAAGACAGACAGGGTTGGCACAAACTCCTCAGGGCAACCACACTGGGAGAAGCCTGCAGGTCACCTACACTGCAGGTCACCTACACTCCCATCTCCCTTGCAGTGGCAGCCTCACCTCTTGGATTTTAAAGTCTGTGGAAAGTGCAGGCTTCCAGGAGTCCTGTGGAGCAGAGAAGTAGGACAATGAAAATGTACTGACATTTATTTATAAACTGTTGAGTGAATGGACAGTTAAACATAATACCAAGGCGTTTGGACCGGTTGCCCTGCACTTCTGATGCATGCGCTGGCCATTCTCCCAGCGCTCGTGTCCACCTGCAGTACGACTGTGCCTGTCCTGAGAAGACCCCACGCTGCGACTGTAAGTGGGGTAGCATGATTTCGCTGCCTTCCAGCATTCCCCTACTTTCTTTCTCCTGGGGACAGCTCACATACCTGAGTTTACATGGCCGGAAGTTGCCCGGAAAGAGGGTCCTCCCAGCCTTTTTTAGGCAGGTGGGGAACTAACAGAGCAAGAAACACCTGCCAGAGTTTGAGCTGAGATGGGGCAGAGAGCAGGACAGCCAGGCTCTCTCCCCTTGTGGAAGACACAACTCGGGTAATATTAACTTGGGTTTTTGCAACAGTGGACCTAGATAAGCACATTGCCTACATCAGAACTAAATGTGCCAACTTTTTTTTTTTTTTTTTTGCCAACTTTTAAAGGATAGTCGTCACCCTGAGCTGTCACAGACTCGCCGAATCAGTGTCTCCAGAGCCCAGGAATAAGCATGTTTAGTTAGAACCAAGACACCCTTCTCTGTTCGCTACAGCTGACCAATAACTGCCCAAACATGTTACTCCCCGATACCTTCTAAATGCTTTCGAGTGAATCCACTGTTCGCAGCATAGTTATGCTGCAAAGGTGTGTTCTTCTTCAGTTCCTAGAACCTGATATTTCTGGTGAGTAGTATCCTTGGCAACTTTACAGTTACCACAACTTATTATTATAGAAGTTCACTGGAGCTATACTGTGAAAGAACCTTCTCCATGGATCCTCTTTTTGCTCACCAATATGGAGATGCATGTGGCTCCTGGGCACTTAACATGTGGCTGTGTAGGACTAAGGAAACAAAACTTCAAGTAGTCACATTTCTCTAGTGGCTACCATACTGGAGAAGGTAAGTCTAATAGAAAGTTTGCTTCAGAGCAACGGTTATGTGCATGCAAACCTCTTATTTTCTTAGAAATAAGATGGAACTCGGCATGCCCAATAAGCCCACCACCTTCATCCTTTGGCCCTGTGTCCCCTTCACTGTCTTCAGGCTAGCCATACAGGGCAGCCCATCACACATGCAGGGCTTAAGTTAGGTTGTTTTCTCTCTGGGTCATCTTGCCCTTGTGGCCATATCTTAAGTATCAGTCTACCTCTCCTTGGTGCTCACCACCCCAGAACTCACTACTGCATTTTGTTGGCAAACTCCCCGTGCTGTGTTTCTCCTACTCACGTGAGGTTGAGCATTTTCTCAGGTTGCCAACAGCCTTGACATATTCCTCTCCTAAGTATTTTTCAGGTGTGACATCATCCTCAATTCTGACCAAACACTTCGTATCATCCCTGAACAGGAGGTCCTTGGTATCAGAATGGAACAAACAAAAGCTGCTCGCGCAGTCAGATGAAGCTCCAAATTGACCCTGCCGAATGAACAGAAAGTGTGTGAAGACCTGTGGCCCTGAGTAGCTGAGGACATGCTTCAGAAAAGGCTGTAAACTCTGAACTAGCCCAGTCAGAAGTACTGAGAAGAAGCAGAAAAAGTAAGTAAAGAGAAGCTACAGAGTATGCTTTCCACTACCTCACCTGCCATCTACTCATTTGAAGTCCCAATTGTATATTTTCATCATGTCCCAAAGTCCTCTGTAGTGGCCTCTCTCCTGTCTTCCTTGGAGAACTCCCTCTTTCCTACCCACCCCTGTGCTTCTTTCCTTCCTTCCTTCCTTCCTTCCTTCCTTCCTTCCTTCCTTCCTTCCTTTCCTTCCTTCCTTTCTTTCTTTTCTTCCTTTTTTCCTTATTCCTTTCTTTTTTCCTTCCTTCCTTCCTTCCTTCCTTTCTTTTCTTCCTTCCTTTCTTTCTTCCTTCCTTTCTTTCTTTCTTCCTTCCTTTCTTCCAACCTTCCATCCTTTCTTTTGATGAAGATGACAAACATCATAGGAAATTGAAAAATGAAAAGTGTAAGATATGTTCCTGGCAAAGGACATAAAGAATATACAGCTGTATACTCAGTTTTCATGAAACATTACGTACAAGCTACCAAGTGAAGACATTGACATCCTCTAAGAACAAGAATTAACTGATTTGAGAAAGATATCAGTATGCAAATATTCTAATATGGTGATCTCCAAAATAACTTTCCACAGTAATGGCAACATTCTGCATCTCTGTACTCTCCAAATGGGAATGTACTAGTCATGTGAATGCTTGAAATGTGGTGAAGGGAATCAAAGACATAAATTTTAAAATATAATTTAAATAGCCATACACGACTAGTGGCTACTTATTGAATTGTGCAGTTCTAATGCTTCATGAATCCAAAAGCAGTGGTTTCTCTAGAGGACATCTCCAACTACTGCTCATGGGTTGAGGGTCAGGTATGGAAAAAGAAAAATAGATTAATAGATTTATCTGGACGCTTACAAAAAGATCTGAGATTCTCCACAGTTTGCAGCCAGGGCCTGGCACAAGCCACAGGGAAGAATGTAAGGTAAACACTCGAGTAAAATTTAGTACATATGCCCTTCTAACTCCCAGCTGATGTCAGTGGGAGTCAAAGTCTAGAATTTGGATCACTCACAGCAAATCTAAGGTTTGTGACCTTCCCTGAGGATGAAAATGGAAATCATTGCTCTGGGACTGGTGGAGAAGAAGGGGTGGGTACTCACTTCTGGACAGGGTTTGCAGATGAAAGTTTGAAGGTGGAGCGACCTGAGGGCCCTTTCTGATCATCTGCAGCTGAAGAGGCCCTTTCTCTTTTGGAATTAAAGTCTTATTTTTGTTTTCAAATACTACTGGGATCCAGCTTGTTCATAAAGGAGTTGGTTTCTTTTATCAGCAGGCTTGTGTTGTAGGTGATGGGTTTATACTAGCTGAAACACTGTGGGCTAATGCCATAACTGATGAAGGTGTACTAACACTGGGGCAGGCCCCGGTGGGTGAGGGTGAGCAATAATGGGCAGTAATAATATCTGTGAGAAAATGCCAGTGTGCCGCTCTGTCCAGCAACCAGATCTCAGTGTCTTGTGCTAATATTGGTATCCCAGTTTTGCAGGGAAGGCAAACCTTCCCATTCCCATTGCATGAATCTCATTCAAATATCACCCTACAAGGGTCAAAATGAAGCTTCTCTGGTTGGTCCCCACTGGTTTCATATATCTAATCCTCCAAGTCTGCCCCAGTTGGTGCATTAGGAAGAGAACCCATGGAAGACCGGTTGAGCTTAGTTAGCTTTGAGAGGCTATTAACTGCCATATTGCTCAGTGGAATGATGTGCTACGTGCTGCTTATGGTGGTAAAAGTTCTTCATATCTGCAGGCATCATACTGTTATATTTTGTTGCTGCTCCCATGAGGAAATCATTTGATGTTCAGCAGGTGCCTTTTTAATGACAGTCACCTCTGTCACACCTGGGGAAGTCTAGGATGAGAGTGACACCCAGCATGAGCTTCTCCAAGTGTGCCTTGTAGCAACCCAACAGAAGGGGCAGTGTCTCCTCCAGGGTTTGAGTTGCTTCTCAGCACAAAACCCAATCTTAGCACCTTAGCTTTCAAGTTAGCAAGTTAGCTGGGAGGTGGGACCTGGGAGCATCAGTTCTCCATGCCTGAGAACCTGGCAGGGTAAATGGGGACCCTGGGTTGGTCCAGCAGCAGCAGCTTGGACCTCCCCTTCCCTTCCCTCTCTTCGCCCTTCTCTCTTTCCCTCAGCAGGGTCTCCACAAATTTTCCAAGCTGGACTTAAACTTCCAATCCTGTCATGTCAGCCTCCCAGAGTGCTAGGATTACAGTGCTGGGTAGGATGCTACCACCACCACTCCCACTTTTTCTAATCTTTCTCCCTTCATTCCTTCACTGCCCTTTTCCTTGGGGGCTGCTTATAGAAAGTACAAGGATAGAGCCAGCAAGATAGCTCAGTGGAATAAGCTATGGCAAGCGCAGGGACGGGGTCCGATCCCCGGTCCTGCATGTCATGCCAGCCCTGTCCCCGGGGTGTGCTGAGCCAATAACCAAGTCCAGGTGTGGTGACACGCACCTGTAATCCCAGCACTGGGGAGGCTGAAAACAGGAGGATCACTACAGAGTCCAAGCTGTGTAGTGAGACCCTGTACCAAATACATTAAAAGA